CCCCCCCCCCCCCCCACACTTTCTTGCAAGGATAAACATTTTCTTTGTATTGAAAATTGGGGTTTATCTTTTTTGTTGGTTTAACCCCCCCCCCCCACTTTCAATTAGCCACCCTTCCAATTTGCTTCAGACTCCTATGGACTTTATTACATCGATGAATTTATATCTGATGAGCAAATGCATTAAAATATGTATATCCGTACTTATTTAAAAAAAAAATTATTTGTATTGCTTCGAAGACAGTCTGAAATAAAAATGACCGAACCACGTGCACCCTGGATCTTGATCATGCACGTGATAATTCCTATGTTTTCTGCAAAATAGGTTATGCTGCAAGGCACTGTGCAAAATGTGGAAACGAAATTATTCTTGTATCATTGCAGCATTCGAGGCTATAACATATCCTCGACAATTTTTACGAGTTGAAGAGTTTTTAATTTTTTATTAACCATGCACTTTATGCACCACGTCATTATGATGCGACCGGAAAATCAAAATTTCATTTTATTTATATGTAATACCTTTTGTAAACTCTTTTTACGAATATATAAAATTATCAAATAACTTGATGAGAAATGACAATGAAATTTAAGCATAACAATAATATTTTAAATTTTACTGATGATTTTCTTCATGTTATCAATGAAGAATTATTATACTGAACTTTTACAAAAATAACTTCTCATTTCCCATGTTCACTATTTAACAACCATGTACAAAAAGATCGGCTGCAGCAGCGGTCGATAATAATGGGTCTTTCCGTTTACCATAACGAGCCTCCATACCCGTAAATATGCAGAGAGAATTAATCTTTTTCTTGTTTAATTCAATAAACCCTTTCCAGTTTAAGTTGACAATTGTAATAAACATTAATTTGTGCACATTAATGAGCAATAAGTGAGATTCCAACAGGCTTATATATCCCCGCAATCATCGGTTGCTATGTTAAAGATGCAACTTCCGTTAAAAAAAGAGTGCTCGCATTTTCAAACGCAACGGTAGAAAATTTATTAAAATTCAAAACATGCAAGCATGACAGTTTTTGTTCATTGTAATACCCACCATGAGGTGCGGTTCAAACGCCTTTCATGGTATCGGGTGAAATTGAGGGTATCCACGACTGGAAATATAGCGTGATTTCACTATAATAGTGAAATACCACTATTATAGCGGAATTTACGTTTCCCCCCGACCTGATGATTATCGAGCATTTAGTTAAAAAATGTGGAAAGTGGCATAGAAACAGATTTGGTTAAAACTTAAACAATAAAATGCTTTCTTTGTTTGTTGTTACTGGAATGAACGGTTGCAGCTATTGCAGAAAAAATACATAACCCGCGTAAGCGGGTTATGTAATTTTTTTCTGCAATAGCTGCAACCGTTCATTCCAGTAACAACAAACAAAGAAAGCATTTTATTGTTTATATTTATATCTGTTTAAATAATCAATTAAAGTAGGATTAAAAAGATTAATTATTGTATTAATGATGCGAACGTCTTTATAAGTTTCATTGATGGAACAGCCACTGATTAAGAAATTTGTACCAGGCGACCTGCCTACTGTAGTTTATGCAGTGATGAACGCAATGGGGTTTCTTAAGAAATAAAGGAGAAAATATTCAGTGGATGTAAATATTTTGCTTTAAAACACAGCAAATTTGAAGTACTCTATAAGAAATCTACAACCACATTAAAGCTTATCAACATAAAATATATATTAAACAGTATTTGTTCTAGAAGAATCAAGAAAAAAATCTGCAGGCAACTAAAGCATTTATATATAATTGATTTAAATCCATAATTTTCTGTCATTTTTGCTTCAAATTACCTCCCTTTGGTATAGTCCTCTAACATAAGAGGAATAAACAGTAGTTTGCTTACATTGTTTTCAGTAACAGTGTACAGAAGACTAGCAGAAAATTACAAACTTGGAGCAGTCTGAGCCTCAGTTTTGGCGTTTTCACGAGTCTTAATTACGGTGAGTGACTGAAATTTTTACAATTTACCATTACATCAGTTACTGAAGAATGTATATTAACATAAATTAATCATGCAGTAAAATATGTAACACTTGGCAGCTAGGTGTTTTTGCACATTTCAATTTAATTCCGATTGATTACTAGTATATATGCTAGCATTACTTTAGTATTTTAATATGTTGACGGTGCGACCGTTATGGCGAGCGCAGATGTTTATTTTGTTAGAATTTAAATCGGGCTCGTACGTCAAACTGCACGTGACATTTGAGGCGTCTAGACTCTGACGTCACATGACGTTGTATGTAAGTTACATTTCCCCCAAAGAACCCTGAACAGTGCTGAAAATAAATGAAGAATGTTTCGTTTGCAATTTATCTTCAATATTTATCCATTAAATCAGGACATTTTTACTTTTAGTAGAACTTTTGCTACTATTCTCACGAGAACGTAGCTTTAACGTAGCTTAAACAGTCAAGTGAGGCATTGTGGGTCCAAATTACGGCATCAAAAAATTCTATCGAATGAATGTGCAGTAGTCCGAATTTTCTCTTCGCACAGGCGTTGCTTTAAGAGCTCGCAGTGACGAGTGTCGCTTCGCAACGCTCGCTGCGCTCGCTATAACTAAAAAGAAAAGATTATGCATGGCCTGAGGAACCAGGAGGAGGGGGTATCCCCCCATATTATTGCAGTGGCGGATCCAGAGGGGAGGGGGGTTACGGGGGTTGCAACCCCCCCCCCCTTTGGATTCGCAAAAAAGAAAGAGAAAGAAAAAAATCCAATTTTTTGTTGTGTTTTTACAATAGAAACTGTTTAGTAAAAGCCTAACTTTGTAGTGTACAAAGAAATTCGGTTGTGAAAACAAAATAATACCCTACCCCTTTACAAAATAGGATTTTCAGGTTCAAAAATTTAATTTCCTTTCTTTTTCAAACACTTTCTGGTATTTAATCCATACAAATACTTTTTCCTAGGTTGATCATTCTCCAACTAAAAACCATACTCCACCATGTATCCTACTGAGCTATTTATAACTATGTGTATGAGTACAACATATGTTATAATAACTTTTCCCTTTCAACCCCCCCCCCCCTTTGAAAAATCCTTCAACCCCCCCCTTTGAAAAATTCCTGGATCCGCGCCTGTATTGGCGGATCCAGAGGAGGGGTTCCGGGGGTTGGAACCCCCCCCCTTTATTTTTGCCAAGTTGAGAGAGAGAGAGAGAGAGAGGTAAACATTTTCTGAGAATAAATATTTATAGGTCTTACTTATGTATTGAATAGATATATTCTCATACATTTAGTTTCCTCCATTAATCTTCATCATTACTTTTTTAATGAAAAAATGGTAGAAAATATTCTACTTATTTTTATATATCTTATATATATGTAACATGCGAAATTTAATTTGATATTAGATTCCCGCGATTTTTAGCTGCATGTCTTGGCTATCTAAATTGTACCGTTTTTTTTATCATATCTTTCGAAGGAACTAACATGTAACTCTTTATTTTAAACCTCAACCGCATCCCACCCCGAAAAAGTTTTTTTCAAATTCTGGAAGAAAATTCTTTGTAATCTAAGGAAATGCTGCAAATCCATTCAATTTTTAGTCTTCAGTAGTTTTTGAAATGTGTTTCTTATTTCATTCGGACTGAGGGCACCTTTTCAAAGGAAAATGGGACTTAAAACATAGATATTATTTATCACAACCTTGGATTTCCATACGTGTATGTGAATCTCTGCTTGAGAGTGTGTAAGGGGGGGGGGGTTAAAGGGGCACAACCCTGGAACCCCTCCTTTCAAAAATGGCTGGATCCGCCCCTGAATGATGACATATAATAAAAGGATAGAGCTTTGATAACGAAGCATATTGTGAGATGAACTCAAATATGCGGTATTATCAAAGACCTATATATAATTAACAAATGCAAAGTATTTAAGTTTAATGTTTTATTCGAGTTGGCAGGTATTGTCCACAGTGGTCTACACAACAGTGGGGCAGCCGGCAAACTGGCATACCCCCAACATCAACATAAGTTGTGCCCTCCCTGACGGGAAAAGTAGCACGCTGGGTTGACCTCATTCGTGCTACGGACACATTTCTATGGGCGGCGGAAAGGGTAAAAAGATGTTTATGCAAAACTAACAACTAATTTTATAAACATAATGAAATACAAAACAGACAACCTTAAAAACAAAATCAACAGACTCGTTTGCAAAATCAACAGACTTCAAATCGAAACCAACGATCACCAATGCAAAACCAACGATTATTCACTGAATTGTCGCTAGATGGCGTGCAAAAAAACATATATTACCTGAATTAACGCTAGATGTCGCGCAAGTTTTTCTACGTCATCATTATTTTTTACTTTTATAGGAACGTAAATGGATCAGGGTCACAATTATAGAGTGAAGGTCAAAAGGCTGTAAATTAGCACATAAAGGAAATTCGCATGTCTCCCTTTCAATGATAAAAATAAAAACATGTTCACATGTTTGTGAAACTTTCTGGTTATAGAATTAAAGTTTAATGTCAAAAGTTTACAATGATATGCATCAAGGTGTATTTCAAGCATAAATTATCATAGAAATATGTATTGAAATGAGAGGTCATTTGGGCCTTCTTCGATTGGGAAACCCGGGTTAACTCGAGTTGATTTAAATAATTTATACGTCATGCACATGCGCAATCGAATTTGCAATCGAACGGGTTAATTTCACACATGTGTTGTTACGAATGTAAACAATATGGAAGTAAATCCCTGCAGTTATAACTAGCAAACACTTTACGGCATGAATTGGTAAGTTTTGTTTGAAATTATTTATCAAGAATATTAAGGTCATTCAAGAAGGGGTATTTATATGATATATTCTAAACCAGTGGATTTTATTTATCCTTTTCAGCTCTGATATTTTGCGGTAAACATATGGCGACGTCAGATTCAATTGCAGCATGTTTTTGCGTATTGGATATTTTTTTATAGGATAATGTGGAAGAACTGTATTGTATCAATAAAATGAATGATTATATAATTCATTTACTTATGATGCCTCGGAAACACATTCCCCGTATTCAGGACTTTGTCGTGGAAACGGTGACAATGTATTCCACAGATGATTTCAGAACACATTTTCGACTGAACAGGACAACATTTGAAATTATTTTAAATATTATTGCTCCAAGTTTGACAGCAGTCCATGATGGGGGCAAGAAGGAAATAACACCAGAGAAACAACTACTTCTTTTTATTTGGTATTTGGCCAATCAAGAGTCCATGCGAGAGACTGGCAACCTTTTTGGTGTGTCCCTTTCAACTGTACACAAGATAGTTATTAAAGTTACAAGTGCTTTGAAAGAAGGGTTCTTGAATGTGAGTGCAGCCTAAAACATACTTTTTATACTGCAAATTTTATTTTTCATAAACATGTATGGGTTTTTTTCTGTCCGAAATTTAGGTAGTTTATTTTAATGCAGGTAATTCAGTGGCTGGATCCAGCAGCACAGAACATAACTGCACAATCATTTCAGTTAGCTAGTGGCTTTCCTGGGATCATTGGTGTGCTCGATGGGACTCATATTCGATTAAGTTCACCAATAGGAGGGGATTCAGATTATATAAATTGCAAGGGATATCCATCAATTCAGTTACAGGTTTGTTTATAAATTGGAGCTTAAAAGCATAATATCATGCAAACACGGTGCATACTAATGGTATTATTTTTATAATTCCTGTTTCAGATTGTTGTGGATCACAACCTGAAGATTATAAGTGCTCATACTGGATGGCCTGGATGTGCCCATGATGCGCGAGTTCTACGGAACAGTACACTCTTTACAAGAGGTGAAAATGGAGCACTAGCACCACCAAATATGCATATCATTGCAGACTCTGCATACCCTTTAAAACAATGGCTTATCACACCGTTTAGAGATAATGGGCACCTTAGTAATCAACAAAAACGTTTTAACTTGGGTCTCTCATCTTGCCGACAGATTGTTGAAAGGGCAATTGGCCACCTCAAAGGCAGATTTAGAAGACTGAGGGAAATTTGTTTTCATGACCCCGAACTGATATGTTCCTACATTATTGTGGGATGTATAATGCATAACTTATGCATTATACATGATGACGACATAGAGGAATTTGTTGATGTGCATCAAAATCAGCATCCAAACCATTACAACAACAGTTTTCAAAATGCCTATGGTGGTATACAAAAACGACAGCAACTTCTAAACATGCTGCGATAGAGCTACAGTTCCTGTATTCTTTACACGAAACTTAGTTCATGAATTAGTTGAAACAAAAGAAAATATCTCTGATTGTGACAAGTTTTATCTGGATGAGACATTTATTTGTTAGTAGTTAATTTTGAATTTGTTTTGAAATAAAATATTTTTCATAAAAGAATACTTTACAAAGTTATTTCTCTTTCAGTTTGTCAAAGAAAAAAAATAAATTGCATAAATAAATGCTGTTCATTACAGAGGTACTTATTTAAATTTTGAAAACGAAATATTTCAAAATATATTTTAGGAAATTTTAAAATGAAAGAATTCAAATATATAGGTAAAACATATATTTGAAAATTGCAAAGAGGATGCAAACATTTTACATTAAGTCCTTGAATATAGTGGAATTTATTTAAATGTATTAAGTAATAACAATTAATTAACAACACATTTTGGTTTAACCGTTTATTTTAGGTAACAAAAAGAAAAAAATATCAACATAGCAACTGATTTAGAAGTAGATAATTCTCTCAGTTTCAAACATAAAATAAAAAAAACCCTGAGTATTTATCATAAAAAATGTCAATGTTACAATTACATGTTTGTGAATATCAAAAGTCATACCTTGACTAGATAAAAGATAATATAACAAAGTATTATATAATTCGTATTATTGCATTTACTCCAAACATTCTTAAAATTTTCTGCTTTTCAAACAAAGGAGTAATTAGTTTTATCTTGCAGTTTAATCTTTTTTTATTGACTTTTCAAATATGTCTAAAAACCTGTCAAATCTTGCCATTTTTTCTTTTTGCTGCTCTCTCAGTTCTTGTCTAAATTTGTCTTCTTTTTCTGTTGATTCTTTCATCATTTCCATCATTTTCATTCTTGGGGATTCTTTGGATCTCACTCTGGTTTTAGTTTTCTTTGCTGGAGGCTTTTTTGGTCTGACATTTGTATTTCCTTCATTATCATGATCATCTGTATCAATCACGAATTTTGGCTTAGTGCCTGGTTTGGTACCATAGAGTTCACAAAAAGTTTCATAGTGTTTGCAAGTTATTTTGTCATTGCCGGTTTTATTGTTGTGATCTTCAACTTCTTTATATTTCTTCTTAAGGTTCTTCCATTTATCCTGTGCTTGTTTTGTACTTACATTGACATTATTCTCCATCAATTTCTCGATCAATTTCTGCCAAAGTGTCCCATGGCTTTTGGAAGAGGTAAATTCCTCTTCCATGTCAGCTCTTACTTCAACCAAACACTTTTCTTCTTTTTCTGTCCAATAGTGGAATTTAGACTCTTCGTTCCCAAGACACTTTCCTTTCATCTCTTCACTTTGCACAGATGTTTTTTCCGCTTTTTCATTTTCATCATCTTTTCCTTTCCCCGCTTTCTTTGTGATAGACTTTTCATTAGCCTTGTTGCATTCAGAATTGACAGACTTTTCATTTGCCTTGTTGCACTCAGAATTGACAGACTTTTCATTTGTCTTGTTGCATTCAGCATTATTTCCTTTCTCCATTTCACTTGTGACAGACGTTTCTTTTGTCTTGTTGGATTCTATTTCTTTTTTTACAATATTTATGCCAATTTGTCTTACAGAAGGATCTAAAAATAATATCACGGAATAATAAATATTGTAACATAGATAGTACTAAAAATGTGGATTGCAGGAAGGAATTTAAAATTTACGAGTTATCAATTAAATTCCAAAATGTAAATGATAGAGTTTAAAAGGTGTTTGTCCTATTGCGTGTATATACTAGTATCTCAAGGAGTAATGTAGTCTAAGATATCTGCCTTTGTTATGAAAAATAATATATACCCGGTACTGTGTATAGTTACCCAAAGTAAATTAATGCAATTAACTTTTCATTTATATCGAATAAATGTATCGAATCAGCTGTTCTTTTAAAATCTTTCCAAGCCATATATGTCTTTGAAGCATCTTGTTATTTTATTTAATAAGGTAATTATAACTAGATATGTAAAGTTAGCTACTAGTAACTGGATACTAGTAGCTGGCTACGACAAGTGGTAAAGTTAGCTACTAGTAGCTGGCTACGAAAAGTAAGTAAATTTGGCTACTAGTAACTGGCTACTAGTAGCTGGCTACGACAAGTATGTAATGTTGGCTACTAGTAACTATCTACTAGCAAATGACCTGAACCTTAGAAAAATAACCGTCTAGTATCTTTGTGTAAAATTATGCGAACTTGGGATACAAATGTTGATATTCTTGAAGTAGCTTGAATTTTACACCACTGATATCCACAGATAGTGTTGGGAAAAACAATCTCTGAGCTTTTTAACATAATCTGGCACTGAAGTTACCAAGATAGTAATAAACTCAGCTACTTGCACCTTTTGTCTAGAATTATGCAATTAGGGAGACAAATGTTGATATCTTTAAAGTAGCTGGTTTGTTACCTAGCTGAAATCAACTGATATTGCTGATAAAAAGAATCTCCACATGATCTGGCAGTAAAGTTACCGAGATATCATTAGTAATAAACTCAGCTACTAGTACCTTTTGTTTCAAATTATGCTCTTTTTGGAGACAAATGTTGATATTTTTGAAGTAGCTGGTTTGTTACCTTGTTGATATCAACTGATATTGCTGATAAAAATAATCTCTAGGATATTCCACATGATCTGGCAGTAAAGTTACCGAGATATCATTAGTAATGAACTCAGCTACTGGTACCTTTTGTTTCAAATTATGCTCTTTTTGGAGACAAATTTTATTAATTTTGAAGTAGCTGGTTTGTTACCTTGTTGATAAAAATAATCTTTATGATATTCCACATGATCAGGCAGTAAAGTTACCAAGATATCGTTAGTAATGAACTCAGCTACTAGTACCTTTTGTTTCAAATTATGCTATTTTTCTAGACAAAGGTTGATATTTTTGAAGTAGCTGGTTTGTTATCTCGCTGATATCAACTGATATTGCTGATAAAAATAATCTTTAAGATATTCCACATGATCTGGCAGTAAAGTTACCAAGATATCGTTAGTAATGAACTCAGCTACTTGTACCTTTTGTTTCAAATTATGCTATTTTTGGAGACAAATGTTGATATTTTTTAAGTAACTGGTTTTTTCTTCACTGATATCAACTGATATTGCTGATAAAAATAATCTCTGGGATATTCCACATGATCTGACAAAGTTACCAAGAAATCGTTAGTAATGAACTCAGCTACGGGTACCTTTTGCGTAAAATTATGCTATTTTTAGAGACAAATGTTGATATTTTTGAAGTAGCTGGTTTTTTTTATCTTGATAATATCAACTGATGTTGCTGATAAAAATAATTTCTATGATATTCCACATGATATCAGCGATGTAAAAATCCAACCACTTCAAGAATATCAACATTTATCTCCAAAAATAGGAACTTGAATAGGAAAAAGCAGTAAGTAGAATATACGGTTTGAGCTTTATTGTGTCCTAAAAATTTAATGTTCTGAATAGGGATGTCAAAGAATATTCGAGTACTCGACTACCGTTCGATCATACCGACTATCGACTACAATTTCTTTAGTCGGTTATTCGTTAAGAATATGTTTCATCAAAGTATTTTGAATTTAAGGTAATAAACTTAGATTTGCCCTTTTCATTTATCATTAAGGATATGGTATAACTGTTTACAAAAAAAAGCAGACTGGGAAAGAAAATCAATCATGTTTATTAAATGATTGTCTACCTCTTACTGTTTGAAATGGAAGATTCAACCTAAGATATGACGTGATACAACTATTCAGAAAGGATATTAATTAAACAGCTATTACAAAATTGTAAATATTTGTAAATTGGGGTCAGTTATGAGAGTAATTAAACTCTGTCTTCTTTTCCTGATATGAATTTCATACAGTCATTGATTGTTTGCACAAAATTTCATGATTAAAATTTATTCCAAGCTTTCACTCTCTGTTTTAATAAGAGACGCGCTTTAATTGATTACCTGTCAAAGATCATTGGCTTCAATTCTGGGGTACATGTACTACCGTTATATAATGAAAGGACAATTACGAGCGTTGATATCCTGCATCTAGATAAAATGTGCAACTTTGAAATTTAATACATTGGATACATGTTAATGTACAGTTTTTATTGTACTACGAACATGTTTACAATTCAGAAATTCGTTGTATAAAGGTGATAGCGTAGGTTAAATATTGTAAACTTACAGTGAAAATGATATGAAAAAATAAATAAAATTAAACGAATATTCGACTATCGTTCGACTAAAGCCTCCGACAATTCGACCAAGCTAACCGAGTAAAATTGACACCCCTAGTTCTGAAAAAGTTATGAAATTGGCCTTAACAATAGTTGAGAAGATGAATATGACATATCATTAAAAGATACGACATAAAGGAGGGTCTTTCTGGAAATATGACGTCATTAATTTGATACATGTCTAAGTTGAATACAGAAAAGCCCCACAATGACTCATTTCTGTGCTAATTTTCCTTTGGAAAATAGTGTGTGCCAAGGTCGCCCGCTTTAATTTTTGGATATGTAATGTAAAATGCTATGAAAAATCACATATCTTAAAATCTTTCTAAGCGACGGTGGCAGAGTATGTTTTCTGAAAGAAAATTCCACTAAAAATTGATGTGTTTTGCAACTTTTTAAGAAAATACCGGAAAATGTGTAAGTTAATGACGTCACAATTAGCATTCAGGAGGTCACATGAGAAAAACGGTTTGTGTATTCTTACTGCAGGGAATTCCTATGATTCAGAAAGAATGATTTTTTTTTTTTACATATTACATTCCTATTTTAGAAAAATATAGGCCTTAATTTGTATTGAAACTATGCCTTATTCTTGGTTTAATATTGAAAAGTTTAAATCCAAAAGTAGTTCCATGATCAATCATGCATTTGCTATTCTTAAGAAGATGATTTTCTAAGAATTTTCCTATATATTTCTATGTTAAACTTATGCTACCTCCGGGGCTCATCATTTGAACGAACTTGAATCTACACTACCTGAGGATGCTTCCATAAAAAAAATGATGAATTATGGCATTGTCATTCATAAGAAGAAGATTTAAAAGAATTTTCCTATATATTTCTATGTAAAACT